GGGGTTGTTCTGAAAATCACATATGTGAAGTTGGGCAGTGATGATACATCTGCTTCAATAGCACTACAGAGCTCACTGAATTTCTGGCAGGATCAACACGTTTCTGGATTTCTCAAACAGATATAGCAAAACACTATCAATAGTATATTTTACAAAGCAAAACAGAGCAAATAGGACAAGTTTGATGGTAAGGTTTATTTGCACTTTTAGCCTGTTCATCCCTGAGATCCTGAGAAGAAAATGTTCACACATAGTCCTCATTTTTTGAGTTCTTGAACATACCGTATCTATTACTTGGATTGATTTCATTAAAAAGCAAGGTATTGTCTCAGCATGTAGAAATACCGATCACCAATATGTCAATGTCCAGCTTTACATTATGTCATGTTAACTAAAATTCAGTCCTCTGAAAATGGCACTTTATAAGCACCATTCATTCACAGAAAGCATTTTGAAACCAAATATAATAAGTATTGACTGTACAACCATTTTCTACACTTTTAGTCTGCATATTCAGATTTGAATGCTGAATAGTAACATAACCTCCATTTACTTTGAAGGTGAAACTATAGCCCAGCTGACCGATATGAGCATTGGAGAACGGCCTGATCCAGATGGTCGAGTTACCATTTTCACTGATAAGAACGGAGTGGTAAAAGCTGCTAGACTTCTTCTTTCTTCAGTTACGAAGGTGCTGGTGTTGGCAGACAGAATTGTCGTTAAACAAATTATCACTTCCAGAAACAAGGTACTTAAGTTTATTAATGGCTTCAATCCATTTGCAAAAGAAAGATGTGTTTCTGCAGCTTTATCAATGACATCAGACTATATTTTCTTTGGGTAAACAATTATTTCTGGTGTGTACAGTAATTATCTTTTTAAAACTGGCATTGCATGCTTATGTCAGAAATTTCCAAGTTTGTTCTATAAGAGATTCATATCTTGAGTAGCTAACATTTAACTATTTTATAGCCTTTTCAAAGTCTGGTGCATGTGATCTCTTAACAATTTGTTAGGCTTACACTTTTTGGATGAGCGGTTGGGTGCAGTGAGGTCGGAATCAACTAATCGGAATTCATTTTTTTTTATCGATTTTTTTTTTTTTTTTTTTTCCATTTTTGCATCACTTTTATTCTGAGTGAAGTTGTTCCTGTCAAGCAGTCATTATGCCAGACCTCAAGCACAAGGGAAGCAGTGCCACTGTACTGTGTCCCTCCGGCTTACAGTCCACTAGCAGTTCCAGAATGGCCTGCAGCTCTCCCTCTCAACGGTCCGATACCAGCCACCTGGAATGTTGTTCCTAAACTCTTCTGAGTCTTCCTTAGCACTATTGTGTGTGGCCTCACCCTTCATCCCAGGAGGATTTCATTGTGGTTTTCCAAGATTTCTTTCGTCCAAATTACAACTTTGCTGACTAACTGCAGAAGGTATCTGCTTACTCTAACGCCTTTCCCTCCAGAATGAATATCTGATCTGCCTGCTGTTTTTGTGGCCTCTGGGTTTCCTGCTGCAGAGGCTCTATATGACCTAAAAATGTTCATCCTTGCCAAATGATGTTCTTAAGGAGTCACAGGCATCTGTCGCAGCAAAATCCTAAAAAGGTTTGGTTGGATCCTGAAACTTCAGAAATCAATGTTGCAGCCAACTTATCACTTGGAGTTTTTGACTCTAGACAGAGTTCAAACAACTTTTCCTTTGCCCAGGAGAAACTGCAGTCACTCTGCTTCCAGACTTTTACTTTCTGTTAGACACTTCGCTTTCACATAAGAGTCAGAGGGCTGATGGTAACCTATTTCTGCTCAGTTCCACTCCAAGCCCTTACAACTCAACATCCTGTCATGGGGTAGACAAATTGGTTCAGTGTCTAGGCCAGTGGTTCTCAACCTTTCTAGGGCCGGGACCCCTTGGTAACATTTGCCAAGTTGTGGTGACCCCCAACGGTAAAATTTAGGGATGACGGGGCTGCTGCAGCGACATCTGGCGGCGTGGCGGGAGAACTGACACTGCTGCGCTAGGAGAGGGCTGAGGAGGACTCTCACCTAGCACAGAAGAAAATCACACAGCGACCCACAGCTTGAGAACCACTGCTGTAACAGCTAAAATGGCAAACCATATAACACAAGCCGAGGGTGTCAGCTTTTATTATTAATAATAATGATAATAAAAGGTTTATGTTCTTTTAGAAAAAAAATACTATTATTTTTATTATTAGAGGGGGTGACACCAAAATGACTGTCAGTCATATTGGTGTCACCGCCTCCACTGGTGGCATCCGGGTGCGGGCTGCACCCCCTTGTGACGCCACTGAATGCTGGGACTTGTAGTTCCCTAGGTGATATGCGGAGGCTGTACAACTACAAGTCCCATCATGTCCTTATTATCCCTGTACACCACATATCACCCTGGGAACTACAGGTCCGAGCATGCCCTCCTTGTCCTTGTACACTTCCCCTCCATATCAAAGTGTTATTATTCCTAAATAAAATGTATGTGGACAGGATTAGGTGCCGGAAATCCACCATTGGGGAGGGCGGTGATGCCTGCAAATTGTGTACTGACAGTGTAGAAACCTTCCACAGGAAAGTTCTCTCTCTCTTTTATTGACCTGGATTATTATATACAATATACAGTATATCAATCAGTGATATACAACACGTCACACAATGAACAGGACACAGAAACATATGAATTGGGCACTAGGACTTAATGAAGCTTACAAGCTCACAGGAACAGAAAACACACACACACACACACACACACACACATACACAAACACTGTGACAGACACACACACATTTAATGACACACACATACAATGGCACACACACACACATACAATGACAAACACAGTGACACACACATATACAGTGACACACACATATACAGTGACACATACAATGACACACATACATACAATGACACACACATACATACAGACAAACACACACACACACACACAGACTAGTACCTGCTGCTTGGGACCTGGAGGCAGTGAGGAGAGGGGAGAGAACGGCTCCTCCCACAGTGCAGAGAGTGGCCCCGAGGAAGTAGTGTGAGGCTCCAGAGAAGGCACATGGCGGGGACAGCTGGAGACCGCGTGGGATGAGCGGCACCGAAGTCAGCACAGGGGGCGGAGCTGAGATCAATACAGCAAAAGCCCGGGGCCCGGTCCACTCAACTACATGATTTACCGCTGGGTCTGCCTGTTTCAATATTGTGCTCCTCCCGGCCAGCCCGCTTATCGCTACCCGGCGGCCCCCCGTTGTTATGCCACTGACTCCCGGTGACCCCTGGCAAATTGTCATTCGACCCCTGAGGGCGTCCCGACCCACAGGTTGAGAACTGCTGGTCTAGGCGACCTGGTTCACCTGTCGTTATATTGTTTCTGGTCTGGTGACTCGTGAATCGGCTCTGGAGTTGAGTAATATCTTTCTTCTAATCTCTTGGAGAATCCTCACAACCTGAAAGGCTGGGTAGGAGCCTGGGAAACCTGTCAGTGCATGGGACTTGGACGCCAAAGCAAAATAATCTGGAGTACCAGGTGATTTTGGTTGTCCCTAAAATGCTGTACATACCGATTGGTGGGTCATCCAATCAGGAACCAGTCGGACAACACCACAGCAGTGGCATACATCAACCATCTAGGAGGAACCAGAAGTATTGCTTTGGCAAGAGGTAGAATTGTTTCTGTCCTTTGCAGAACTTCACATTCCAGCCTTTTTCTGCTGTTTACATTCCAGACAAGGTCAGTTGATGGGCAGTTTTCCTCAGCTGGCATCACTTGGATCTGGGCCCTAGACCCAGAGGTGTTCCAGCATCTGTCACACGTTGAGAATGCCATATGTGGACCTCCTGGCCTCTAGGTTCAGCAACCAACTCGACAGGTTTGTTTTCTGGTGCAGAGATCCTCTAGCAGAAGCAGTGGATGTATTGATGGCCAGATCTATTTTTTTCCTTCACTAAAAGTCCTTCCTTGTCTGCTCCACAGGATCAAGCTAGGGGGCATTCCATTGATCCTCATAGCTTCAGTGCAAGAGATTTCCCTATATAGTCTAGATGTAGGTTTTTCTATACGAGTCTATCTCACGGCCACTGCTTCTATTTGGAAGACAAATTGTCTGTACCATGCCAGCTAGTCTTTGAAAAGTGAAACCAACTTCTCGCTTCAGCATTTCTGGGTGGCACAGACAGATTATTGTTCAAGCCCATCATTTTAAGGATCAGGTTCCACCCTTTTCTGTCAAGGCGCAAACTGCGTTCTTCTTTGGCTTTTCGGTATCGCACAACCATTTCACAGATTTGCAAGGCTGTAAAGTTCTACCAGGTAGATGTGCAGACCTCAGCTGATGCCAGCTTTGGGTATAAGGTCCTTCAGGCAGCTCTTTAAGCTGCAGACAGTCCCAAGTTATTTTCTGTTTTGGGTTTGTTTGTTTTTTTTGCTGTGTTTTACTGCAGTTGGACTGCTTTTAGATTTTCCAAATGTCTCTGAACCCTGTATCCCTCAATAAACAATTTTAAAAATAGGATTTTTGTACTTACTGTAAAATCCTTTTGTTAGCATTCAGAGGACACCGGTCCCATTCCTCTATATGCTATCTTGCTCTTAGCACTGCTTTCTTACAAAACTGAGGCATGCTCGAAGTGGGAAGGATTATATCAGGACTGGTTACTGGTTTTTGTTTGCCATTGTCCAATCCTCCAGTAGGCTTCATTATAACCCAAATGTCTTTGAATTCTGTGTCCCTCAATGAACTCCAAGGAAAGGATTTTATGGAGAGTACAACAATCATATTTTTCAGTTTTCTAATTTTTATGCAGATTAAAACAAGAGATGCTCAGCTGTGAATATTACAACAGCTTGCTTCACTTGAGGCAAAGAACAGTATGTAGACTGCAATAACCCATAGCACCGGGAATCATCTTAATGCACATTCACACCAATGTGTTGTAGTGCCACACTGTTAAAATTTGTGTTTTTATGGTGCATTTCTACAAATGCACAGCAAAGTGTAGCACAGGCTGAACAAGAGAAGTCTAGCGGTGTATTCCAAGCATTAAATACCAGACTCATTTATACAAATATTGACTAATTGCTATATAAACCTCGCCTTGTGGCCATTTTGCATTATTTAAATGATGTACCGGACTATATGGTTTGGTTGTGTTTTTGTACTGAAAACTAAATAAACCTATTGAAAGAAACAAACAAAAAAATTAACTCTACTATTGTCTTGTATACACAGAATCAGCACTGTGGACAGTGCCACATACAGATTTTGCTGGTCTTAATTCACTACAATGGATAATGTTGCTATGTTGCTAGTTAAAGTTGGCAAATGTGTATTAAATCCTAGCTAATCCAGAACTTTGAGAATTAACGTGGTTAGTAAATCTACCCCCAAAATATGCTTATATATACTTCCTTACACTCAATTAATTTGAATATGATTATCATTTGTCCTATGAGCCAAGTTCAAATAAAACAAATGTTTTCTTTTAGGTCCTGGCAACTATGGAGCTTCTTGAAAAAGTGAGCAGCTTTCAAGAGTTTGTTCAGATATTCAGCCAGTTTGGTAATGAAATGGTGGAATTTGCCCATCTTACTGGAGACAGACAAAATGTACGTATTCTACCTGACACTGGCCGTGGGAACATGAGACTCTCGCTGATTAAAGAAAAACATCTAAGACTTAATCTGGGTGGGAGAAAATGTTTTTTCTTTCTGACATTATCAGCCTTAGATTTTAATGAGCACTTTGCACATTCATTTCTGGGAGCTAGTGGAATGAGAGCTTTGGCTTTTTTTTGCACATGCAGCATTTGTAAACACAGTACCACACTTATCACTTAGTTTATTAGTATTTAATGTATTTTTATAGTAGTAGAACATAATCCTTTTAAACTTTTTTTTCCCCAGGATTTGAAGAGCGAGAAGAAAAAGGCAAGCATGGCAGCAGCAAGAGCTGTGCTGGAGAAGTGTACTATGATGTTGCTCACAGCGTCCAAGGTGAGGTTTTCTGCCAAGCATAATGTGTATTTGCAAGCCTATCATTTTTGATGGATTGGAATATTTTTGCAGATATCCAGGCTATATTTTTATTTCAAACCTAACTTTAAAGACTGCAGCCCTTTTAGTGCAAATCAGCCTGTTGACACACTGTGACCCCCCCCAACATCTGTGTACAACATTCTTTATCGCTAAGGAAACCATTTTCGGCTACTTGCTAGAGGGTGGTATGTATTGAACTTGGTAAACAGTCTCTCTTTAGAGTGTCATGTAGTGGTAGCTGGGATAGCATCCTTCAGCATCACAAAAGGCTGTAAAGAGATGCTGAGAAGTAAAACCCCCTTGTTTTTTTTTCTGCAAGGACCATGCAACACTAGCAATGATTTGTTACTTATCCAAGATTGAATGTGGCTGTTAACATTCTTAAATATATATGGCCTTTTATACTCCTTGTAATGCAAGGCCCAGACACAAATGTCCTAAATCTGCATTCTGTTACATCACTGTGCATCCAAAAATATTAGTTGCTGCTAAAGGAAAACGCTGGAAGAGGTAAGTGTTCTGCATCAAGTGGGATAGAGGGTGCACCAACCCAAGTGCCATAAATCACTTGGGCTGCAACTAATTATTTTCATAATCGATTAGTTGGCCCGATTTTTTTTTTTTTATTAACCGGATAAAAAAATTAAATATCTTCCTTAATTTAAAATAAAATGTACTTCAGAATAAAACTACATGCACAATTTTTAGCAATCACACCGCACTGTAATGTGCGTTCCAGTGCATGCAATCCCACTGTGGGTGGGAGGCACGCTTGGGGTGCCATTGAAATGAATGGCACTGCAACGCACCTCTGCAGCAGAATTTGTCATTGTATTGTAAGCATATGGCACTTGAATAGTTTCAGCCAGGGAGTGACAGCTGCCAGTGACAAGATTCCGCAGACGGCAGCTGAATGTAAATACAGCATGTAGTGGGCTGGTGCCAAACCCAGCCTGCTATTGGCCATTTTAAATAGCAATAGCAGGCTGGCTATTGCACCTGCCCACCCAATAGTTGCCAACTATTCTCATTGTCGATTATTTTCGTATAATTGATTAGTTGGTTGCAGCCCTATATAGGAACCAGACGTTTGTGGTAAAGAGAGGTATAAAGTAGGGATTTACCGATACCATTTTTTTAAAGACCGAGCAAGAGCACCTATACTTTTCTTGTACTCGCTGGTACCAATTACCGATACTTTTTTTTTTTTAAACAATACAGACTAAATATTTTAGGACAGTAGTGGAGCACCAGCTGCAACCGTTGTGACCCTGGTAGTTCTGCCCCTGACTCAAAGTTGTAGAGTGACTAGAAATCCCAGCAATGCATTATACAGCAAAGCAGAATAATATGAAGGTACATACTGTGTTGTTCACCAGGGCTGTGCGGGGTCTGAGGAGGCTGTGCGGGACGCCCCAGTGCTGTGCCGGCTCTCACCATGGCTGTGTGGGTGGTGGGAATTTGGAGTATGAGGAGGAGATGTTTGGCAAGCCAGCACTGTGAACAGGTGCCGTGAGGTCCCCAGCAAGCCCGGGACCTTATGGCAGCTGCTTGTGTTTTAAAAAATGTAAAGTGCAGGTATCTGCGCTTTGTATCTGGGCATTTTCACAAGTACTGGTGAGAATGCCCAGTATCGACACTGATACCGATACTGGTATCAGTATCAGTGCATCCCTAGTATAAAGGATTCTGTCCTGGGCAGAACTTTACATCCCAGGCTTTGGACAGTTGGCGGGTGGACTTTCTCACACTGATCTGGGGTATTGGGCCCTAAACCTGGAGGTTTTCTAGCACCTGGGGAATGGGTGAGATGCACTGGATATGGATCTCCTGGTCTTCACAGTCAACAACAAGCTAGACAGGTTTGTCTCTAGGTGTGGAGGTCCTCTGGTGGAAGCCGTGGATGGTCTGCTGGCTTCAAGGGATTCGTACAGCCTGATTACTCAAAAAGTTGTTATCCTTGTTGCCATCACCTCTGCAAGGCACATGCCTGAACTGGCGGGCTTGTCTTGTGAAAAAACCTTTTCTGGTACTGCAGAGAGAAGGAAAGAGGTACTAGGCCTCAAAACTACCTAAAGAGTGGTTTTAACCGTTTTTTTGCCTCAACCAGGTCATTGTTCTTTCATCCGTTTCTATAACTATAACAAAGGAGATTTCTTAATTGTCTAGATGTTTGTGCTATTTGAGTCTTGCCTCCCATGCACTGCTTCCATTAGGAAGACGAGATATTTTTGTCATCCTAAATAGTGCCTGCAAAGGGGAACCAGCTTTTCTCAGTGGCTAAGACAAATTATTGTTGAAGCCTATGGACCCTTTTCTGCAAAGGCACATTCTACTTGATCTCGAGTGGTGCTTAGACTTTTCGGCATCTGGTAACTGTTTCCATGAGCAAGAATTCCACTCAAGATTTTTGTAATAGGCCTGTTGGCATTTTGTTTGCTGTGTTTTCCACCCCTCAGTTAGACTATCTGTGTCCCTCAGGGAATTAGACAGAAAAAAAAATATTTTTGTACTCCACAATTTTCTTTGGAGTTCATTAAGGGACACAGGTGCCACCTCTTTCTTGGAGGGGGAGAGGTTATAGCAGGTTGGTGACTTTTTTTTTCTTTTCAGTGTACAAATCCTCCTGCAGATGGCAGTATAACCCAAATGTACCTGAATCCTGTGTCCCTTTAATGAGCTCAAACAACATTTTATAGGGAGTACAAAATCATATTTCAGTTTGGAAAACATAAAAAAAAATCACTTTACACACAACTCTTAAAAGAGAACATTTTCTTTTGACACAACTCAGAAGTAGATTTAGATGAAATAAATTATATTTTGGCAAGGGATAGATGAAAATAAGATATTCTGGCTCCTTGGCTAGAAGGAGTTGCACTATTATTTTCTCATGAAATGCGTACATGGGCTGCCACTGCTAGTTACCGTGCCATTTCTAACATGAAAACTTTTTAAGCCAAACCTAGAACAAGCGTGTTGTAAAGGAGTGTCGGATATGTTAAGGCAAATATTTTTTTTGTTTTTCTAGTGCAGGTTTCCATTTCAGTTTTTTGTGTATGTTCAGTAATCGTTAACCTTTTTTTTTATAGGCTTGTCTAAGGCATCCTGATTGTGAATCAGCACGTATTAATAAAGAAGGTGTCTTCCAAAGAATGAGACTAGCATTGGAGCAGGTCATTGAAATTGTAACAGACTCGCGACCAAACAGGGAGACTGAAGTTGCATCCATCAGTATTTATAGCGGAATCAAAGAGTTAAAAGTAAGAGGTTTTTTTTATATACTCTTTAAATTGTATTCATACTTTTAATTCATATACTGGATAAAATTCAGTGCTTATTTAAAATGTCTGTCATACTGTTAAAGTATTTGTAAACCCCAAACCTTTTTTTTATATTTTGGATAGAGGAACAGCATGGATAGAGGGATCTCAACTGCTGGCTATTGTATTCAGAACTGCGGCACCCACGCATACCGATTACTTGAATCTGATGAGATGCGATCAGTGTTCGGCAGAGAATGTTCCAACTGGATCATTCGATTTTTAAATTGACTTTTTTCAAGATGGGTGCTGCTGACTGGGCCAGCCAAGGCCATATTTTAGCAAATTCAGCAGGAATTGGTTGGAATTCAAACCTTGTCTGGCTAAGTTTAGACAGCTGTCACTGGAAAAAAGTGTCCCTAATGGAAGAGTTTGTCTCCTATTCTTGTATAGGTGATAACTTAAAATGTTTTTCCTTTTACTTTCAGCACCAATCGCAATTCTCACCACGACAGAGAGTGAATCTCCCTAGCAGGGACAGACCGCAATACAAGCCTGATAGGAGTTCTAATCATTTACTACTCTATCCAAAACTAAAAAAAAAGGCTTTAGGTGAAAAAGTAATTGACCTTTTAGAGTATATCCAGCATCTGTTTAGTAGGCCATGTTTTACTGAATTTGTGTGGTCACATGCTGTCTTGCAATCCGTTACAGCTTCCATTGAAGTTCAATATCCTCTCAAGAGTATACCTACTACTGCAGCTATTTATAGGCTGTACTGCATGTGTAGATCAAAGGGGGACCCTAGTCTAAACTATTTTTTTCCCTATATGTTCTAATGGCAGAGTTGTTTAGATATCCGATTTCAAATGTAAGTTTCATTAAATTAAAATGTTCCATTTTTCACTGTATTATGCTAATTACCTAAGCTACAATATATCGGACAACCACATTTTTTCTATCTGTATTTACAAAAAGATTTTTTTTTCCGCTAATAACCTCAGTTTCAGCCAGAGCCAGCTGTGCCCGCCCCTCCCCTGTCTGTCCCTCAAATGAGCGCTGGAGGAATGGGGAGGGGGAATCCCTGAAAAGAACGGTCACCGAGAGTCACCAGTCTCTGCAGGTAGAAGCCGTGAGCTGAGCGATTATTGCTTTGTAATCGCTCAGTTCTCGAGCTATAGAGCCGGTGTGTGACCGCTGCATTGTCACACACCAACTCAAACTATTGGAAAGAGTATATTTTTCTCTCCCAAAAGTTCGCCTTTAAGTATTACTCAGCCCAGTTATCTCAAATTAGTACAGCTTTCTCAAAACTTTCTTTCTGTGCTAGTTGGAGTCAAGCAACAAGCCAGCATTCTAATCCAATCAATTTGTGGCTAACCCAAGCAGATGAACGTTTTCATGTGTTCCACTTTATCACAATGCCTTCTCTCTTTGGGACTCTTTACATTTTCTTTTTTCCAATTAACTCGCAAAACTTCAGCTCATACCTTCGGGAGACGAAAGTTCTTTCTAGGTTTAGAGTGGGTGTTATCATTATATTTATGGCATTTAGATCTCAATTTTCTCGCCCAAATGCTTTGATACCTTTCCCAATACTAGAACTTCCGGTAAGAGGGACAATTCCTCTGACCAGCAGTGCCGTGGGGAAAGATGGAGTCGGGAAGCTGGCTCCATGCGGTTTGGCCGGCTTGATGCCGATTGGCCGGGCAAACAAATCTGATAATATAGCGACCCCCACCCGGCAGGCACCCAATTCCTCTCACATAGATCCTTTAGCATTCTTTAACGTACCAGTCCCTCGGCAAGGCCTGCTGTCTCCTGTGTGCACAGCGCTCAAGTCATCGGCGCTCAGCCTGCTACTGCGCATGCACAGGATTTCTGAATGAGAGCGCTGGGCACTCTGCGCAGTAGCAGGCTGAGGGCCGATCACGTGGGCGCTGTACACAGAGGAGATGTGGGCAGATTCGGGAGAACGGTGTCTGCCCAGCTGGCCCAGGGACTGGCACGTTAAAGAATGCTAAGGATCTATGTGAGAGGAATTGGGTGCCTGCAGGTTGGGGGTCGTGTCACCATATAGTCAGATCTGTTTGGCCAGCCTCGATGCCGATTGGCTGGGATTGCCAATCGGCATCCAGCCAAACAGAATGGAGTCGGCTTCCCGGGCAATCAAGAAGCCTTCCTGGCTCTATGCTACCAGAAGTACAGGTATCAACGAGTACCAAAATATAAGTATCGGTACTCATACTCAATACCGAAAAAACTATATTGGTGCTTCATTAACTTAACACAAACTGAATAATTGTCTGCTACTAAAGCCATTTTTGTGATGCTGATGTGCTGTCTTTTACATTTTCCTTGAATGGTTTCATTTATGTTATATATTTGTTGTTGTTTTCATCTATTTTTAGAGTAAAGTTGAAGGACTCAGAGAAAACCTGTATTATCTGTCAAAGGAAAATGTTTCCACAATGTTAGAAGTCATATTGGAACATACAGAAGATTTCACAGACTCTGCTTACACCAGCCATGAAAACAGAGAACGCATTCTGGAACTATCTAACCAGGCCAAAATGGAACTAGAGCAGCTGGTTTCAGTGTGGATACAAGCTGTAAGAGCTTTTTAACAAAGTAAATCTTTTTATATTCTGCAAAATAATCTATTCTGCTTTAACGTTTACATTTCGGGGGGAAAGCGGGTTTGATTGAGTGCATATATAGGTGAAATGGACAGCGCTGCATTTGGAGTCCAGCTGTAAGCTGTTGACGACCTGTGTCCCATTCATTCCTTCTGTTCCAGTGCTGCAACCTCTGTAAGACTCTTTAGTATTCAACACTTCCCGGAGTTACTATGTACTGTGGTTCCTTTCTCCAACCCCCTAAATCACAGCTGTGTCCTGTAGTGGCATACAGGTCAAAGATGCAGTCTTCTGACACTCCTGGGAGTGTTGAATGCCAAAGAGTTTTAAGGAGGCTGCAGTGCTGGACTGGAGAGAAGGTAGGAGATGTTGACTGTCACTACTTCCATTAATGTGACTTGCTGTTGGGATCCTGCTTTTTTTTTTTTTGTGTGCATTAAGTTTTTATTAGGATTTTAAAAAGAACAAGTATAAGGTAGAGTACAGACATGTAAAATTGAAAAACAAGTTTAATTGGACAAGATGACAAGTTCCAAACTACCAAAAGGGGGGAGGGGGAGAGAAAGGGAGTGAAAAAGCAAAGAAAAAGGAGGGGAGACTAACTCTAAAGTTGTTTTTTAACAGCGTAGAAACACCTGCTGTCTATAGTAGAGGGCTGACATCTTGCTAAGATCTGCTCTCTGGGGAAAAAAAGCCTTGATTCTGGGTGTTGCTTTAATTTATTATTTTTCTCCAAATGCTTAATAATACAGATGTAAATGAGGGTGTGTTTGAAAATGCTCTGATGGCACACTTTAGGCTTGCTCTAAAGAACTAGATCACATTAATGTCTTGAGAAAGAGACCACAAATTAGCCAGGATGCCAGAAAAGGGGGGCAGAGGACTGTTGGGTTCACTGATGTACACCTCACCAGCCCTATTACAGGTCTAAGTAGCATGCAGAGACCTTTATCTCACCAGTACAGTTTGTGCTATTTCAAACAGCAAAGAGCAGGTAACCCATGCTAACATACATTCTATATTATTGTATAGTTGAGATAGTTTACGTAGCAAACTCCTGCTTTAAACTTGTGGCGACATTATAGGATCAGCTCTTTTTCTGAGACATCGAGAAACAAGTCTCTCTATTCTCTACCCTACTCTGTTTACCTCCTGTTTACGGTAAGACCCCGTTCACACAAGAGCAACAGTGTTTTTTGATGCACTTTACACACTTTTTTTATGCGCATTTCACAGGCGTTTTCTGTTCATAAACCACGCAAAAATGCGCTCTTTTCTTTTGAAGTATATGGAGCAAAACGGGCCACAAAAGAAGCTTAGGGACTATTTCAAACACCAGGCGTATTTTGACGTGCGATTCCGATTTATATAATCTTTTTTTTTTTTTTTACCCCGATTTGTTTACAAAGAGTTTATTGATTACAGAGATCCAACTTGTTTTTTGATGAATAAAGTCTCCCTTTTATCAGGGCTTTTTAGCTCCATCCTTAAAATAATCTGGATGCAATCTGGAAGATAGTCATTACAGGACTGCCAAGGGATGTGCAGTCTGCTTTTGACCAGCAATCAGAGCAGCCTTCATATTGCTCTGATCTATAGGTCTTTGAGTATAGTATCTTGCATTCGGATTGTGTCAAGATTCCTTTCCGGCCAGAAAAACTAAGCCCGATGGAGGAGCATATTGAGCTCCAGAAACGCATTGGCATTTTTTTGACCAATAAACCCTTCCTGGATGATCAGTCATTTAATACTTTTTTCTTTTCAGATTAGAGAAGTCTAATTTTGGCTGACTGTGGGGGGGGGTGGGGGTGGAGAGGGACAGAGGAAAGTGTGAAGTACATTTTGAGCCATGATGAAATCCTATTTATGTACAAAATGTAATTTTTTTTCCCCCTAAGAAACATAACAGAAGGATGCTGTTTTTTGGCATATTTCTTGTGCAGATAGGATGTTTACCAAAATCGGTTTCTTTGTTGACTGCTAGTCTTGGTGAAGGTTTCTGTTGTAAAAGCAGCTGTGTAGGAAAGCCTGCAAATTGCATCTTTGAGTTTCTATAATCTATCGTAAAATAACTGAATTTAAATGGTCTTGGGGGACACAGCGGACTTGCTGAATGGCTGTAATTATTACCCTGGCATTCGTCCTCTACAGCTGCCTGCTCGGTTGGCTGAATCCTTATGATTGCCAGTTTCTTCAGTTTCTGAATTACCCTAATTCTGAGTTGGGGAATATGGAGGTCAGAGTGTTACCTGGCTCCAGAAGGCAACTCCTCTCTCAGCACTGGATTAAAGCAGACCTTTATACTCAAAAATCAGATTCTACCAATGCATCCCTCTATGTATGAACCTCAAAGGTAAGGCACCAGCTTTTTAAGTAGCTTTGGCACCTGGCTCCGGAGTTTTGCCCAGCCCTGCTTTAAATGATAAGTGCACTTTAAATCAAAGTGCAGTTAAGATTTTTTGCCGCTTTGCCCTGAGCAAACCGAACCTACCCTCCACGGATGTATATTTACTGCAATTCAACTGCCTCGGCCTCCATTTTTTATTTATACACCTCGCTGCAAATCCGCTTTCTGGGCCTAGTGCATTACAGCCCCATAGACCTCTGTGTGGCTCATCTACCTTAGTCTCCCAGATAGAAAAGGAAGGTAGGTGAGCCCCATAGACTTCATAATTATTATTATTTATCAAATGAGTGATTTCCTTTGACATTTCTACATAAAAAGGCCTGTCAGTTGCTTGATTTTAATCCATGCCAAATCTGTTAAATAAAATATAAAAGGTTTTATTTGTTACAGGTGCGGGGTCTGAACTGAGGCTGACCTGTACAAACATTTGAAGAAAATGTTGACTTTCAGCACTTAATGTCTTAATGTCTTGTCAGTTAGGCAGCGGAGGCGCCGGGGTTGGGGTGGCACTATTGGACTGTGCTTCGGGCATCAGTTGCCCTTAATCTGGCCAGCTCTCTCTGTAATCACTGCAGTGTCACCTACAGTATACACTTAAACCGGTAGAAGGGAGTTTGCACAGCACCGATCTTATGACCAGGCTGCAGATGTTCTGTTACAAGCCTCCTAAAATCTGGGTGCAAATAAAACATTTTTCCTTCCTTTAACACCATTGCAGTATTTCCTGGATAGCATTGACAGGTCAATTTTTGTCTGGCAGTCCTCATTCGTGTTTTTCTCCCTTTTTAGATGATTGTTTTGCTATCTGGTATTTTAATTGTCTTAAATGTGCAGTATTGCTGTTTTTAATGAAAAATGTTCAGCTCTATTCCACTGTCTTGACATAGCTGTATGAGTATGCCTTTCTTTTGATAGTTTAGTGGTCCAGTACAGACAGCTTGTCCAGAATTTAACCAAGGGTGACTGATTCTATTGCTATATGAAAGCAATTTGGTTGCTGGCGTGAAACAAGTTATGGTCTGTAACATTTTACTAGCAGATTGCAAACTCTTCATCGTAATGTGCATTCACCATAACAAAAGACCAAAGAATGCAAACAAATTTGGGTAATGTGATTCTTTCAATAGAGCTTGAAGATTTAGGGCCAGTCTTGTCAGTCTATTAACTAGTATTAATTTGCTCCAATAATGTGTTGTCTGAATAATTTGTTCCATCTCATTAGATAGCATTAATAATATTAAGAACTCCTGGGGGTTGTTGTATGGAAAGCTATTTTCTTCTTTGCAGTTTTTATGACGTCTTTGTAACTAACAAATGTTGCAGCTTCTTTATTCTATGTGTGTTACTGGTGTAATTTAGGTTGAAATTAGTTATTATTTGCATATTTCTTAAATATAATTTAAAATCTAGATTGCTTTGCTAGATGTCAACTCTCGTCTTGATTAACGTCAGACATGGATAAAGTAAGAAGGATTAGAACCCCTGTCAGTATATTTTTGCTGTCCGTTTCCTGTTAAAGAGATTTCTATTTATCTCCTGTTTTGGAGTTGTAACAGGAAATTATTTGAATTTCTATTAAGTGTAATTCCCCTCACCTGATTTGGTATTCTTGAACTGATCATCAGGTTTGGAAGATTTTGATACATTTCTAAGTTAAAGTATATCAAAGGCCAACTTTGGACATAGCAGGGAAGGGTTAAAACCCTTCCC